TAGTTTTCGAGATATTTCACCGGTCCGAGACTTTTTGAACACCCTGTATGCGTTTTTAGCATTTCGTCGCCATATAGTTTTTCCTATTTTCAAATTATTTATTAATATTCATTGTTTCTTATTGCGCATTATGTTTGTATAATATCCATCGTGTATGGTGGAAAATTACACTGATAATTTTATACTTACTTTTTACTATTTCTATCTTTCCTTTAAATATCTTTTTCACGTTCAAATTTGTAGTCTTCCACATTTTCGTATTAATGATTGTAAATAATTGCAGTTGAAAAATGAAAATATTTGTCTCCGTCTTTATATCAATTATTTCGTTGGCAGAGTTTATTCCACAGTTAGTGCATAATTTTTCAATGTTATTCCAACACCCAACGTTATATTGTATTAATTCTTGTAAAGTGTATGATTTTTTCAAATTGTCAGCAATAGAATAAAATTTGTTTTAATTTCACAAAGTATCATCTATAGCATCATTATCATTAATTTAACATTCTAAAATATTTTTTTTAACTGCCCAAACTGTATCAGGCATTTTCTTAAGGCCTTGTTTCGAAATATAAATATATGTAAGATCTGGTCTATACTGATGTCGCAACCTGTTGTATTCTATTATAGCTAACTCATTTGCTTTTACAGACAAAGAATCATAATTTATAAGATGTAATCCACTTAACGCAGTCACTCGTGAAAAAGCAACACATATTTGTCCGCAACTAAATATGGAATTTCCAGGTTCAAGAACAGCATGATGTAAACTCAATCTTTGACTTTTATGAGTAGTTATGCCATAATTTAAATATATTTGAAATTGTTTTCTTACAACAAATGCTTTATCCATTACTTCAAATTTAACACTTAAACGTTCTATTGTTTATATATTATATGCTCAACTCCTCATAGCAGCAGCATTTTTAATTTTTCTACTTTATTTCTATTAGTGCCTCGTGTAATTGACGTAATTGTGCCAACTGTATCATTTACAAGACGTAAAGTGACATCGATATTTCTTCTAATCATTATGCGTGCTCCTACTTTCACAATTATGATCCTTGCTAATCCAGCTGTTGGAGAACTATCTTCATCATCCTTATTTAATATCTTTTTATTCAAATATGATACACAATCTATCATGTCTTGAGCTACGAGTTCTATTTCATTTGGAGAGGTACGTTTTAACATTGCATTATTTAGAATATCATATAGTGCACAAGTTGAAAGTAAACAAATTGCATCCACCAGCAATTCCTGCAAACAATCATCTAATTGTTGTAATCGGTCATCACAAGTAGTTTCTGTAAATTTTATTTTTCTCGTTTCTAAGGCAACAGTATCCGAATCTGTTATTGCTCCTATTCAAATTTTGTATAATATATTTCTATAAAAGTCATCATTTTTTGTCGCATGTTAATCCGGGATCTAGATCGAATACTCTTCCAAAACCTCAATATCGGTATGTGTCAATTTTTATTTAACATTTCTTTATTAATCACAGGGCACATATAAAATAATAACTTATACAATAAATACCTGTAATAAAGATCGACTGGTTCGCATAGAACGTTTGTATCTGTGTTCCTTGATTTTTGGTATTGTTTCCGCAATATACAATTTTGTGTTGATTGAAATCGTTATATAACAAATGGTCGCTCATCCTGTCAGTTTCTGTGTTCAATACCTGCATGAAGTAATACTGATACCGTATGTATTGTCAGCGCAACCATGTAGTTTGTTATGTAATTTTTACTTTTAATCGGTATCAGATGTAATCTTTACTTTTAATTTCAGCTACTATCTGCGAGTGGATGTATGTAACAAGACACTAATTTCACTAAAACAGCACGACTCTTATATACTATCAAGCGGTCGCGGTCGCGGCGCGACGCTGAGTACGTATCGAACAAAACAAGACGACCGTGTAAGCTTATCTGGAATTTCTGGGTCGATTGATCTTCCGAGT